TTCTCACAAAAGTCAAATAAGCCAAAAAGTCTATTCCAAACGAAACTTTTTAACCCCAAGTTAAAATAGTCAAAAAGTCAACCCACATCCCAAACGAATCTAAAAAAAAATTTAAATAGAATTTTTAAATGTAAATTATATTTAAAATGATGTGATATTAATATTTTTATAATTATGTGATACAGTAGTGAGTCTTTTGACTTTAAATGGAATAATCATAAAAAAATATATCACTCTATATAAAAAATTTTGTATAACATTATCGATAAAACAGACAATCTCATTAGAACAAAATAAGAACATGCTCACGACTATGTTTTCAATTTTTTTATGGCTATCACTTTCACTAGTGATGATGACTATGATGAAGCTGGATTCAAGCTTTTGTAGATTCGGAGCTTTTTTTAATTTTGATCCCCTTCATTCATTCCATTTGGTATACAAAACCTTATCCTCTCTGCAACCGCACCATGCTTCTACATTTTTCTTTTGTTTTGTTTTTTTGAACAACACCATGGTCTACATTGTTCTTGCATATGCCTAGGTGTGCCATTTTGGGACATTTTGTTTTGGGGGTACCCATTATTTGATCATTTCCTACCAGACCATATCATATGTTCATGAGTAGCATTTGGACACATAACCCATCTTCTTTCTCACTTTTCTTTTCCTAGTCATTCCAAATGTCAATTAGATTTGTCAATGCACTAATGTTTATGTGCAAACAAAATATATATATATATATAATGTCCAACTTGTTTCATATTAAAATCAAGACTAGATTCGTCTAATTCTGCCCATGGGCCCATTTGGAGCCACATTGTGATAATCTGAACTGTTGAATGTGTAGAACTCGTCGAGTACTATATCTTTGTAAAATATCACGTTGATCGGATATCGATAGTTATTTGATCAGAATAGATTTGTATTTAAAAAAATGAACTGTGAAAAAATAAACAGTTGATAGAATTCTTATCCGATCAAATAGTTATCGATATTAGATTAATGTGATTTTTTAAAGGAATATAGTACTCGACGAGTTCTACACATTGAACGGTTCGAATTATCGAAATAGGGCCCCAAGATGAGCCCATGGGTCAGACTGTACGGATCCAATCTTTGATCTCAACATGAGACAAGTTGTACCCTATATATAAGTACACCAAAACTAATGTATGATCTAAATTTATTTTAGGGGAAACATTATCGTACACACTCTTCAAAGGCGGTGTATCATATGCACTTTATAATTAAAAATATATATATAACTTTATATTTTTTGAATTATAACTAAAAAAAATATTATAACTAAACACTAGGCATAACTAAAGAATTCATTAGTCATAATTAAAATAATGTTATAATTTAAAAAATTAATTATAACAAAAAAATAACATAATTAAAACATATAATATATTATTTTTAAGAGCGTGTATATTAGAATTTCCCGCCAGATGAGATACCAAACTCAGGGTTGGTTTGGGGTGTACTAAAAAAGTGCACTTTTTGTCTTTTTACGAAAAGATGTGCAGAAAAGTAGAGAGGTGGTGTGATGGAAAAAAAATAAAAAGATAAAAAGATGGATTATATAGTAGATGACAAACAAGGCTCTAATGAATTTAGACAATGTTACTCAAATTTGTTTTAGGTGTTGAAGTGTACCTCACTCAGGCTTGTTTGGTAAGCACATAAAATAGTCAAAAAAAAAATATTATAAAAAGTAAAGGTGTGCGAGATACAGTTTAAATGATTTGAGAGTAAAATTATAACTCAGATAGTAGATTAATGAATTAGCAGATCGGTAAATTGCAGTTTGGGCGAATTGGTGAATTAAAAAATATTCTAATTAATTATCAAGTATTTGCATAATATATAAGTCTAATTTGCATAATATTTTTCATATAGATAATACAAACTAATTTTATATAATATTTTTCATATATATAACTTTTAATTTGTAATAAATTTCACATCCTAAATCTTTCTCACACTCATTTTTACTTTGATCTTTCATTAGAGATTAAAAAATATATATGTATTAACTATCGGAGCGAAGCGGTTTCAAAAGCTAATTACAAATTTTAAAGTTTAATCCGCGATTAGCAGATAGAGCAGTGTGGATTGATGTAGATCGGTGCGATTTTAACAGATTAGACGGTATTTTACACAACCCTAATAAAAAAGTCAACTCTTCTTTTTATTTTTTTATATGTCTTTTTATAAAAAGTCAAAAAATTAATTAAACAAACTCTCAAAATGAATTTAACTTATATATTAATTTTTCTGTGCATTTTTTATTTTTATTTTTTTTTTGGACACAGGCATTAGTGTCGTCGACCATGAGCTTTTCAATCATTTTTTAACGCATCACAGTGTGTAAGCAAGTTGAAAGCTCCTTTGAGTTTAGGAGCAAAGTTGTTGGCTCTCTTTTGATTGGTTAATCAAGAGACTTTGTTTGGTGATCCCCTCCGACAAATCATTTCACTCAAACAAATAATTAGTTTTTCTCTTCTCAAGATAAAAACTAATAATCAAGATGATGTATGATTTAAAAGCATCTCTCTTTCAGTTTGCTAACATATTTATTTAGGTTATTTTTGTTTATAAATTACAAAAATAAAAATAAAAAGTTGCACAAAACACTTACATGGATTTTCAAAATAATAATAATAATAATAAGAAAAATGTTTGAGAGCCCTAATTTCTGTGGCTCAAATAGCTCAAATTTACCAAAACGACGTCGTTTTGGCAATTTTGATGTTGTTTTGTACTCAAAACAACGTCGTTTTGAACTCAACGTTTTGGTAAATTTTATGTTGTTTTGTACTCAAAACAACGTCGTTTTGAACTCAAAACAACGTCGTTTTGACAAATTCGAGCCATTTGAGCCACAAAAATTAGGGTCTCTACCATTGTTGTAATAATAATAATATATTGCACCAAATAAGCTAAAGTTAACTTACTCAGTATTGTTTTGGAAAATAGAAATTTTAGTTTATTTTTTAACTTTTTAATTATTTTATAATGTTGCCAAGAGAGTATAATTTTTTTTACTCATCATTATCACCAAAAACATTTAAAAATAAAAACAACTGCTTCATATTATAACAAATGTAAATTACATAATATAATTTTGCCTGTAACTAGTGTTTTTGTTTTTTCTTTTTTCTTTTTTCTTTTTTACCTACTGAAAAATGGACCTTTTTTTGGTACATTAATTGAAAGTGGGAATTTGGGGGAGGAAGTAATATGTCTTATTTGTGACAAGACGAAAATAAGTCTTATTAGTGACAAGACTTAAACTTCTAGCCTTTAATAAGGTATTTTACTTGGATATTTAAGAAAAATACACACAATCACATGCACAAAATTATGAGTTACATTCATAAGACATTTGGGATTTGAACTTATTGCAACCAACTAACTAGGTTTAAATTATTGAGGGAATTACAAAAACATGACACTTGAGCAAAATAATCACACTTTTAATAATAAAATATATATATATATATATACACACACACTCTCTTATATACACGCACTCTCTTATATAAACAAACAAGTTGGTATAAGTGTTGAAATGAGTTTTATTAAACTAATTCAGACACCCAATTATCACAACAACATCATCAACAACAACAACAACAACAAAAAACTTTATTTTTGCAGTTTTGCGAATAACATTTGCACCAAAACATATGGAACACTGCACCAATTTTTATTTTTATTTTTTTATAAAATTGAAATTACTTTCTCATTCTTCCACTGATTTGCAATTTATCCTAAATTATTTAGGGTGTGTTTGGTTTGATTTTGAAAGATTAATTTTCAAAAAAAAATTTGGAGAGAGCTTAGAAATTTTTTTGATTTGTTTGGTTGTACATTTTGGAAATAGTTTTGGAGTAAGAGAGTTTGAAATGATTTGATGTTTTGTTTTAGTTGAGTAGATGTGTGTGAAAGAAAAAGTAATTGAGAAAGAGAGGAGAGAAAAAAGTAATTGATTAATGTGTAGGAAAGATAAAGTAATTTTGGAAAAAAAAAATTCCAAAATCACTAAACCAAACAAAATTTTAAAAAAAATTCTCGAAAACTACTCTCAAAATCAAACCAAACAAGGCCATAGTGTTTCACATTAACAGAGACTTCAACAACAAACTAGAAGTGGTCTTACCACTCGTAGTCCCAAATTTTGTTGCTAAATTGCTATTTGCTTCCTAAAACAAGTGTTGTTGCTAAATTGCTATTTGCTTCCTAAAACAAGTGTTGTTGCTAAATTGCTATTTGCTTCCAACACACGTTCATGTTTCAATGGAGGCTGAGGGGCAAGATGACAATACGACTACAGCTGCAGCAGCAGCAGCCCCACCCAAAAAAAAAAAGTCATGTACTTCAATTAGAAACAATATTCCGCATGAGACAATAACAAATGTCACCACTGAGCTTTCATGCCCGTCCTAGTCCTAGTTGTTGAATCAAAAGAGTGGCTAAGTGAAAACTCAAAGCTGTTGGATCAAAATTTATAAGGGGTAGGCAGGAATGTGACAGACGTACAGATGATAATTTTGTGTTCAAAATGAACATGGCCAGCCAGCTAAACCTAAACTGAAAGTAACAACTTCAACTGAGAATTTTCCTCTGCCAGAAAAAGGCATGGCGCCAGCTCTCTGTGTTTACCAAACATCTAGTGTCGTTTTCCAAGACAAAAGATCATATTCAGCAAGCCAAATCTCCAGGTTTCCTAAATTAAATGTCAATTTTTTAGTAAAACTAGTAATATTTAAGTGGACATCACTGAGGGTAGATACCCAACTCCTCCCCTACAACCAACACCCAAAAACCCCAAATACATATATATATATATATATATAAGGAAAAAAATTCCAAAAGGTAAAAGGAAATTTTGTCATGGTGCATTAACCAATTCCAAGCATAAAGACTGTAGCAACTGTAAAAACCAAACAATTTGCATACGCTACTCATCACTGGGTTAAGACAGAACAGAAGTATTTCAGCCAATGAAACTTTAATTCAGAGAACTATCACATTCAGTTTAGCAACTATGTCAATAAAATCAACTACAAAGATGGACTGTCCCATCAACACAAAATTTCATCCCCTGCTAATAACTTGGTCTAGTCACAAAGGAAATTGTTAAATTGACTCTCATTTTTGTAACAAATCCACTAAACGGAGTAAAATTGAAAACTGTGTAATATTAGACTAGTATTTACAAATTTTTGAACTGAACTAACCACAAGTCAGAGCTTCAACTTGATTTGTGGACCCTGACCACCACAGTATTCCATAGCCTTCTTTGGGATATCGGTCGATACAATAGTTCCCCTATTGTAACCATCTACAAGTAACTTCCCGATCTTTGAGCTCCACTCTGAGCTGTCCCTCTCATTCTTTCGGTCATGAACAACTCTGTCGCAATAGTTGAGCATGGTTCCTAAGCCGCTATTTGGCGTCCAACCATATTCCTTCAACACATCTGCTTCGCCTTCAGTTAAGTCCTCTCCCACCTTTTAATAAAAGAAGAATGCCATTGTAAGATACAAAACTTGACAGCAGTTTTCCTTATGAAACAGTAATATCTGGAAATTATGAAGAGATCAATATACAAGGCTCAGTAGTGGGTTATTTAGTTTTATTCAAAAGTCAGTCTTCAAACAAGTTAATGTCACTAATATAGCAGAGCCTGAGTAAGATATAAGCAAAGTGAACCCATGCTCATATTCTTCACTAGAAGTTCACGAAAGGGATGGTTGGCCAGTGTCAGTCCTGCCTGCAGGATGCTGCAAGGTATCAAATGAATAATAATGACATCACATGACCATGTCCTATTAACTATGTTTCTAATTTTCCCAATGGCTACTTCATGTAAATCAGTACAATAAATACTTGAATAATATTTTCCCTACTTCATGTCCTATTAGCTCTGTTTCGAATTGTCCCAATGGCTATTCCACGTAAATTAGGATGACAAAAACTTGAGGAACATGATTTGCCTTTTCACATGTTGCACTCAAACTGTCCGTTATCAGTGACTCCAAATATATATACAGATACAGATACAGATAGAATAGACATCTATTATACAAGAGTTGCAAGGCATACAACTATCATGAAGTGAGTCTAGCAGTGTAAGGCATGCATTCTAATCCCAAATATCTGAATCAAACAATGATCAATCCCAAATGAATAAAGCAAATCAACTAATGAATAAAAACCATGGTTGATTCAGTGATCAATTCATATTTTGAACTGAAATACAGGCAATGACACATGCTCTGCCCTGTATTATATTGTGTATTATATTCTAAAATGCAACAACATAGTAGGTCATTCAACTTACTAACAAGGAACAAAGATTTGAATTTTAGAAGTGCATAGCATAGCAATTAACCATTTCAACCATCGAAGTCAACAATCATATAAGAAATACTTATAAAGTCATTACCAATAATGCTTTATTCTCAATCAGGGTAACCCTGCTACAGCTAGTAAGCTTCATTGCAGTCACCAAGCGCTTGATCTGCCAATTGATGGGCAGGAAATCCAACAACTCAAAGAAGTATGTTGCGTAGCCATATTCGGGACGTTCCAACACTATTCTGCATTCAAGTGAAATTGGATAGGAGTAACCCCATCATCCCCATAAGAACAACAAATTAAAAAGATGGATTCTAAAAAACAACTTGTGTTGCCAAACACACCTGTTATGTCTTTTAAAAACAAATATAAATGATTGGAGGTCTCGACACCACCCCCACTCAACAGGCCAATTCCGAAATTGTAGATATCTGGCCTAAAATTAAAGGAAGAGTGATTAAGAGATATTAGAACTCACAACCAATAAGGATGGAAGTGAAAGTAAATGATATTAGTTAATTTCACTATTCACCACATCAAAACTAAGTTCCAGTAATGTTCTTACTTGCTCCACCAGCGATATTAGACAAGCCAAGCAATAACTAGCCTTCTCTCCCTTTGTGCATCGTATGGGAGCAAGCTTCAATAATGACTGGCGTTGAGAGAAAAGCTGTCCACACATAATTAGAAATGGCACTAACATCAGAAACTAAGAACTAACAGTATAAGTGTTCAATCAAAACATCAAAATAACTGAACTAACAATGCATACCTATTTGCATGCCAATGATAAACTACTAAAATAATCAAATATCAAAGAGTACCAAACAAAAACAAAAACAAAAACAAAATTGACTAAAAAAAAGAAGAAAAAAAGAACTTCCACCTACCAGCAGTATTTTGTAAAATAAATGAGTATATAAATTAATATGAACACAAGGACCCTGCCAATTGCCTGCTTAAAAAAATGGTCAAAGTGCCTCATTTGGATTTGGACAAAACTACATTCCTCCAAAGCTAAAACTTACCAAATAAAACATATAAATTTGGGAATTTCAGAACCCCATCTCTTATCCCCAGTCACTTTCTACTCAGAAGTAGCCTTTGTTTGTCAGGAGATAAAATTCAACATGCAAATTCAAGATTTTGTGGATTATACCTCAGCTGTTATCACATCTTGTCAGTCATTTCGGTTAAATCTAAAAATCTAAAGGCAAGTCTCAAAATTAAAAGAAACTTTTGATTTAATTGGTAAGGTAAGGTAATATAGGTAACATAGGAATGATATTTATAGGAGCTTAGGATCAAAAGTTTCGGTTGACTCACAAATTTTTCAAATCAAAAGCCTCTTTTGATTTCAAAAACTTATTGATATGAAAAAGCATATTGACAGATTGACCTACAGACACACAACGAGTCACACCTTAACTGAATCCACAAGGCACCAATTGTGGTATTTAGGGAATCCTAGGTAAGAAGGGTTACCTTTCCGCTGTGTTTGGTTGAAAGATTTGAAAAGGAATTTAGAAAGGAAAAGAGAAAAGGTGTGTGAAACTAGGTGAAATATAAATATATTTTAATCACATTTCACTACCTTTTCCCTTTCCCTTTCCAAATCCCTTCTCAAATCTCCCAACCAAACACAGCGTCAGAGGATAATCCTAGGTGTGAAGATTTTTAAGTCCGGTCATTGAAAAGATTGGAGACTAGTAAGAGGGCTTTGATTTTTATGGGAAGGGTGTATTTTGGTTCAATTGGTCTTGGTTTTAATATATATTTCTAATCTTTATTTGAGATTATGGTGCTAATAGAATTAAAAAAATTGAAAAAAAGTGAGGTGTGGGAGGGTTGTGAGGGGAAGAAAGAGAGTTTTGTAGGGATTGTAGGTTTAAAAAAGAGAAAAAGTTAGAGGTGTGAGTCCTATCTCATCCCCTTTTATATTAGATCATTAGCAAAATTACAAGAGCTCTAAGGCATAAATAAATATACCAAATATACATACGGATGACATAGGAAACATAGGAAACATTCCTAATACATTCTAACAGTATTAGGAAACATTCCTAATACATTCTAATTCCTAATACATTCTAACATTCTCCCTCAAGTTGGTGCGAAGATATCTCTCATACCCAACTTATTGAGAATATCACGAAATGGTTTATTCCCTAATCCTTTGGTGAGAACATCAGCCAATTGGTCCCCAGAGCTCATGAATGGTGTATATATAGTGCCAGTAGTGAGCTTTTCCTTGATAAAATGCATGTCAATCTCCACATGCTTGGTCCTGTCATACTAAACCGGATTGTGAGTTATATTGATGGCTGCCTTGTTGTCACAGTATAGTCTCATCAAATCAGTCCGATGAATCCCCAAATCCCGCAAAAATAATCTAATCCATAATAGCTCACACACCCCCTAAGCCATAGCTCTAAATTCAGCCTCTTCACTAGACCGCGCAACTACATTATGTTTCTTGCTTCGCCAAGTAACTAGATTTCCTCCAACAAAGGTACAATAGCCAGAGATTGACCATCTATCAGTGACTGATCTAGCCCAATCAGCATCTATATATGCCTCCACACTAAGATGACCATGTTTGGAGAAATAGAGACCCTTTCCCAAAGAAGACTTCAAGTACCTCAGAATCCTCATAACGACCTCTAAGTGCATTGCACGTAGAGCATGCAAAAACTGACTAACCATACTCACTGTAATAGCAATGTCAGGACACGAATGAGATAAGTAACTAAGCTTGCCCACTAGTCTCTGGTACCTCCCCTGGTCTACAAGCTCGCCTCCTAGATCCTCACTAAGCTTCAGTCCAGGGTCTAGTGGTGTATCGCAAGCTTTACTGCCAAGCTTTCCAGTTTCTTTTAACAAATCAAGCACATACTTTCTTTGATACATGAAGATGCTATCTTTGGACCTAGCAACCTCAATACCTAAAAGGTACTTCAAGCTGCCTAAGTCTTTGATTTCAAACTCATTGGCCAAATACTCCTTTAACCGAGGAACCTCCTCAACATCAGCCCCTATGAGTACAATATCATCTACATAGACAATAAGAGTTGTCGTCTTACCATGTGAGGAGTATTTCACAAACAAAGTATGATCAGCTTGACTCTGTTTGAAACCATATCGCAGCATAGCCTGAGTAAATCTCTCAAACCAAGTCCTAGAAGACTGTTTAAGTCCGTAAAGTGACTTGCGTAGGCGGCACACTTTTCTTTTAGTTTTAACATCCTCAAAGCCTGGGAGAATGTCCATGTACACTTCTTCCAAATCACCATGGAGGAAAGCATTCTTCACATCAAATTAATGGAGAGGCTAGTTGAGATTAGCAGCAAGGGATAGGAGGACTCTGACAGAATTCATCTTAGCAACAAGTACAAATGTCTCCTAGTAATCTACTCCATAAGTCCGCGTAAAGCCCTAGGCCACCAATCTTGCCTTGTAACGTTCAATTGAACCATTGACTTTGTGCTTCACAGTGTACACCCACTTACAGCCAACAGGCCGTTTGCCCTGAGGTAACTCAGCCAATTCCCAAGTGCCATTTTTTGCAAGAGCTCTCATCTCCTCCATCATGACATGTTTCCACTTATGAGTAGAAAGAGCATCTTGAAAATTAGAAAGAAGACTCACAGAAGAAACTTTAGACAGTAAAGCTTTATAGAAAGAAGACAGATTAGTGTAGGATACAAAATGAGAAATAGGATGTTGAGTGCAAGACCTAAACCCTTCCTATTAGCAATGGGAACATCTAGGTTAGAAAGAATAGAGTTACCTGAAAGTTCATCAGTAGAAGAGGATTCTAGACACTCATTAGAAGGAGAAGATAGCAGTGGAGAATCCGAATTGATCTCTTGTACCCAAGTAACTTGTTTTCTATCCTTGTCCCTGACATAAACTTTGCCATCTTTCACTGTGGATTCCAATTCAGACTCAACAGTCTCAATTGCTAAGTCACCCTTAACATCCTGCTCAATCACTGATGGTAGTAATACAGGTAGTGATACAGGAATCGCTTCACACCAAGGCTTCCCCTGAAGGGATGACTGGGACACCGGTGAGGACAGGAAGTACGACTAAGGCTCAAAGAAAGACACATCCATAGAGACAAATCATTTCCGAGAGGCTGGATGATAACAGTTTTAGCCCTTTTGGGTGGCAGAGTAACCCAGGAAGACACACCAAAGAGACCGAGAATCCAACTTACCAAGGGATAGGAGAATGGTTATGACCAAAGTACACACCCCCAAAGGTTTTGAGAGGAATGGAAAAACTAGAAGAGGGAGATCCTAACAAAACCTGAAGAGGAGTGTGTTTGTGGAGAACTTGGGTAAGCAGGCGATTGATGAGGAAGGCAGTAGTGAAAACAGCTTCCCCCCAATATGATCGAGAAACATGCATTTCAAAGAACAAACAATATGCAATATCAAGAATATGGCGGTTTTTCCGCTCGGCAACCCTATTCTGTTAAAGGTATTAGTACAAGAAGTTTGTTGAATAATACCATGAGTAGCAAAATAGCTGGCAAGGCCAGAGTCAATGTATTCCCCCCCCCCCCCCCCTCCTTATCAGAACGCAGAATTTTGACAACCGCCTCAAACTGAGTGCAAATCATTTTATGAAATTTTTGAAACACAGAAAAAAAACCTCACATTTGTCCTTCATAAGATATACTCAGGTGGTCCTAGAACAATCATCAATAAATGTGACAAACCATCTTTAACCCTTTAAAGACATAAAACCAGAGAGACCCCATACATCAGAATGAATCAATGAAAACGGGACTAAACTTTTATTACTAGAAGGAGCAAAAAAAGCTCTCTGTTGTTTTCCAAGTTGACACGACTCACAGTTAAACTCAAAAACATTATTTTTCAAAAAAAAACTGAAGGAAAAAGATGCTTAAGTAACAAAAAAAATGGATGCCCAAGATGACGTTGCCATAACCATAGGAATGAGCCACCAGGTCTACTTGATCCAGGATGTAAAGACCATTCGCGTTTCTATCACTGCCAATCATCTTCCTTGTGATAAGATCCTGAAATAGACAATGATCAGGAAAAAAGGTCACATTACAATTTAAGCCCCGAGTAATACGACTCAAAGATAAAAGATTAACACTAAATTGGGAACATGTAGAACAAAAGACAAAGGAAGGGAAACAGTGGCATGACTTCAACCTTTCCGAAACACAGAAAAAATAGTACCATCAGCAATTCTAACTTTATCCTATCCTGAAGAAGGGGTATATGCGGAGAACAAATCGGAAGACCCAGACATATGGTCTGAAGCACCAGAATCGATAATCCACGGCAATGTTTGATGAGATAAGAAAGCATTTGTAGAACAAGCTAAGTTACCTGAATGGGTAAAGTTACCTGAAGATGAACTAGACTCCCGATGGTCTAGCAAGTGGCGAAAAGCAACCTCCACCTCAGAAGTAGAAAAACCAGAGATATCAACAGAAGAAACAACCGGAGCTGGGGACGGTGGCTCAACTGTATTAGAATGATGGGCTCGGGCATTAAGCCCTCGGCCTCTAGACTGACTAGAGCAACCCCCACGAGAACCAAAACGATCCCACGACCCCTAGATGGCAGCCCATGCAACTTCCAACAAGTCTCACGAGTGTAGCGAGGACGACGACAACAGTCA